ATGGCTGCCGGTTTTTTCCCGGCTTGGGGAAAAGCCGGAAAAGAGCGTCTAGACTGGCGCGATCCTCCGGAATAAAGCCTTTTTCCAGAGGATCTCTTATTCCTACTTGCAAGTCCTACATAAATCCTTGCAAGTAGGAAGAAGAGATTCTCCGGAAAAGGGCTTTATTCCGGAGGATCGCGCCAGTCTAGACGCTCTTTTCCGGCTTTTCCCCAAGCCGGGAAAAAAGCGGCGGCCATGTTTATTTAAATCCCGCGGGGGATATTTAAATCCCCCGCGGATTTCCCTATTCTGACTTGCCTGCTTTGCATGCCTATTCCGTCTTATGTGGCCAGTCTAGACGTAGCCCCAGAGTTAAGAAGTGCATCCACAGAGTTCATCCCCCATTCTGAATGGGGGAAGGTAAAGAAGCATCTTACTCACTCACAAGGTAAGCCAGTCTTACAGCTCACCACTGGGGTGCTTTTACACACCACTTTTACCTCAAAATAAGCTTATTTCAAGGTAATTTCAAAATATAGCACTATTCTGACAAGTCCCTTAACCCTCATGGAATGAAGGTTACAAGGACGCCAGAATAGCACGCCTGTTTTCAAAATAATAGGCACTTTTAAAGACATGGAATTGCTATTTCAGGATACTTCAGGATATTTCAGCTCTGCCTCGGGCTTCCTGTAGTCAGCCGCTGGTCAGTTTCAACCGCAGGCTGAATCTGGACACCAGTTCCGACTTACATACAAATTCAACTTAAGAACAAACCTACAGTCCCTATCTTGTACGTAATCCGGGGACTGCCTGTATCCCGAAATAGCCCCGCTGTCGAATGTAGCCCCAGGGGGACCTGAAGCCCACTGATTCAGAGCTCTACCCTCCCTGCTTCACCTCAAGGAGCTCTGGCAGTGGAGTCCTTGTCCATCCAAGAATCTTTACATTGACAGTGTCTCTCGCCTTTCGAATTGGGTTAAAATCTGACTTTTCTGCTGATCCACAATAATTTCAAGCATTGCTGATCATATTTCATATTTCAATTCTTGCATTTAGTCTTAACACAATGTATGACCCAACACCAGCCAAGATGATTGCAGTGAGTAAACAGAACTGCATCAGCTGAATATTTAACACACCTAAACAAAGCAGGAGCAAACCGTATTTACATAGATACACCCAGCGTCTCTCCCCACTCCCAGCTAATTGTAAGGGACACATTCCTTCAGATCCTGCTTCCACTTAGGTAGCAAAGGCTGATGAATCATGTTAGAAAGCTGTCAGACATCTGATCTTTGTCCACTGCAAGGGAGAAATCAGTAATCAACGAGGCTAGAAGAGTCTCTGTACCATATCCAAATCATTTCTCCCCACTTTCCATACCCTAGTGCCCACACCGTCCCCTCTCCAGCTCACTGCCCACTCACCCTGCCTCCTTTACTGTTTGGAGCTCATTCTCCTTATAGCCCACTCTGTCCCTCCCCTCTGTGAGCCCCGTGAGAAGTCAGTCTCACCCTGATCCAGGACTTGTGCAGTAGTGAAGCTTAAAAGTGAGCCCTGGGGCAGCTATGCTCCTTGGTGCAGAAGGAGTAAAATTTCCACTGCTGCCAGCCTGGAAGTGCAAGAAGCAAGTGGAAGGTGATGGGGGAAGAGGGACTGCACTGAGTCACTCACTGACCAAGAAGAAAGGGGTCACTAGCACCACCTGGCATGAGAGAGATCAGAAATGAGCCCCAGAAAGGGGCAGTCCCCGCCCAGGTTGAACTGTTATCTGGCCACCCCAGGGCCCAGAATAAGTCGGGTGAGAGTGTCAGTGAAAAGCTGACAGGCTGGAACAGGAGCCGGAGGGGGAGGCCACCTTCCAAACTAGAGGCAAGACCTCTGTATTTAGACTGGCTTTGCATTTCGAGCCTGATGTACCTAGCCACCGTATTCCTGATGTCGAATCATAGAAACATAGAATACTAGAACTGGAAGGGACCTTGAGAGGTCATCGAGTCCAGTCCCCTGCCCTCATCAATACCAGCTGCTTTATATACACCAATGCCTGACCTTTAATACAGAAGGTTGGGGCTAGTTCAAGTCTAGCAGCATGGAGTCCCAGCAGAGCTTGAGGAAGTATTCCTAGAACTATGTGGGTCAATCGACTGGCTTGTTTTGCAAAGGCTGTCCTCTCGCACGGCAGACACCTGCTGTTTAGACAGTTCCCAAGAGGGAAAGGCCAAGTTTCAACCATAATGAGAAAGATATGCTGACATCAGAGACTGGCCTTGGAGTTGCAGGGCTCCCCCTGGAAAAGCAGAAGTCCAGGGCTTATCACTGAGGCAAACAGAAAGGGGAGAGGCAAAGTGACAATAAGTTCCTTTTGTGTGAACTCTATATTCATAATTTGGCTGTAACAAGCCAGATCCTCCCTGTTTAAGGCAATGGCGCTCCACTGATTGAATCCACCTGACGATCTGTTCCAATGTTACTGCTGGTGTCTGCCTTGCATTTGCATTCTGACCCTGCTGGCAGATGGTAAGGGCTTTGCAAGAAGGCCAGGGAGAGGGTGAATATTAAGTAAAACCCTCACCATCTGCTCCAATATACAAATAGTTTTATGCTCTTATGGCCTTACCATGTAAGTGCCAGGGGCCATGCTTTGCTATCCTCCTGCACAGTCTGAGTGTGAATGCCTTGCTTCTTGGCTATGTCACAGGACTGTAGTCCTATAGATCCTGCCAGGATTGTAGAAAGATTTCTCCTGTTCAGAGGTAGCTAAGATTCTGGGATAGATTCAAGTAGTCTAAGGGAGATTGAGGTTGGACACTAGGGAAAACTTCCTGTCAGGATGGTTAAACACTAGAATAAATTGCCTAGTGAGGTTCTAGAATCTCCATCACTGGAGATATTTAAGAGCCAGTTAGAGAGACATCTATCAGGGATGATATAGACAGTGCTTGGTCCTGCCATGAGGACAGGGGACTGGACTTGATGATCTCTCGAGGTCCCTTCCAGTTCTAGTGTTCTATGATTCAGCTGTTCCCCTTTGAATCACCATCCTTCCCACCCATAGCAGATGGAGTTCCCCACAATAGCACCAGGAGGGGTATGAAGAACTTCTCCTCCTCTGTAGCCTCTCACCATTTGTCTCACCCCACTAGTGTGGAACGCCTTGTGCCCATGTAATGTGAGCTAGCCTACATATAAAGAGCAGGATGCATGTGAGAGGGGAGCTCAGGTCCAACAAGGGAATAAATTTGTGGAGAAATCTACTGAGGCACCAGAAAATGTAAAGTCAGGATGTTCAGTAGCGGTTAATTGGCTAACTGAGTAGTCAATGGAACTTCCATCCAATACTTGGTTAGTTGATAAGGAAGGGCAGTTACAGCGAGCGCTCAGTCCCAGCTCACATCAGGTTTCTGCATAACCCCTCCCACTGCTGTTCTCAAAGCTGGTCTTAGGGGTGGGTGAGCTGGGCGGTTGCCCAGGGCCGCCATTTTCAAGGGGCCACCACCAGAGCCAGTCTTAGGGGTGGGCCACGACTGCATTTTGGCTCAATCTCCCAAATCCTCCCCCCAGGTTTCCCTGGTTACTCCCCGACCCCCCCCCCTTTTTTTTTTGCTTGACAAATTTTCACCAGCTCAGTCCCTGGTCCCGCTGGTCTCACCATAACCCTGCTGCTGGGGCTCTGCACTGTTAAAGGAGCTGTCATTGAGCCAGCATCTTCTCGTATTGGCTTCCTTGTCTCTTTAATAGTGTGGAGCCCCAGCCAGGGGAGCGATGGGTGGATGAGCAATTAGTCGATAATGCTAACTGATGAGCTCCTTCTTATCAGGTAGTTGACTATTCAACTACTTGCTTACAACCTTAATTTAAAGGCCAGTAGATCCCATCTCTGCTGTGGCCCTGGGAGGTATTATGCTTCTGAGGCACCTCTTTGACTTTCAGTTCCCTCCTGGCTTTGCCTTTGCAAATTACATATCCCCCCTGTGTCTGCTCAGCTGCACTGGTTGGTTCCCTACCTATCTGCCATGCGAAGGGAGCAGAGGGAATAGCAGTGAAGGAGATTCTTGCCTTCCCTTAAACATCTGCTCAGATGAATAGTTCTTGTTGCAATTCAGCTAAAAGTGAGTTTCTTCTGTCCCACTCCAGTCATCAGAAACAATGCACACACTTAGAAGGATGTAAGCAGCAGTTCAGTAAATATACCAGCCTTTTAATGATTCAATATGAGTTTGCAACATGTGGTGTCTTTAGTGCAGTGGTTCTCAAACTTTTTGGCCCATGGCCCACCCCGTTCAATGCAGACCTTCCTGCAGAGCACCAGCCAACCATCCATGATGACAAAATGGGTGTAGGAGGGGGTGGAGGTGTGGAGTCTGGGTGGGAAATTGGGTGTAGGAGCAGGCTGAGGGTGAGAATCTGATCATGGTGTTGGGTACAGGAGTGGACTGACCATAAGGGGAGGGGAAGGGGATGCAAGAGCAGGCTGAGCCAATGGGAGCAGCGGGGAAAGCCTCCAGTTGAGCTGTTTCCTGTGTTGCTGTCCCCCCAGCCACTTCCTTCCCCTATGAAGCTCCCCACAACCTGCAGTGGGAAGCCATTGCTGGGGTGCCAACCTTGTGCGGGGGAGGGGGGAAAGAGGAGAGATAGGGCTGGAGTGCCAGTGCAGGCTCCCTGCTCTGAGGAAAGAGGAGAGATAGGGCTAGAGTGCCAGTGCAGGCTCCCTGCTCTGTGCGTATGTGGCGGGAGTCCTGAGCCCGTTGTTGGGATGAAAACTGTTCAGTTAAAACTATTCAAAATGGAGGCAGTGAACTTTTGACCCAAGGACTCCACTTTGATCAGAATGCCTGTCAGCAGCTGGAGACTCTGAACAGTTCTGGCTGGTAAGAGCTAGCTCAGGTTTTCAGAACGTTCCATCACCTCAGGGTTGCGTCCCACTGAAGTGATTTTAAGGCCCTGCGCAGCTGCTGAGGGGGGGGGGGCTTCTTCCATCTATGCTCCTATCAGCATCAGACCACCACAGCTGTGACGAGGACGGGAGAAGAGTTACCATCAATGATCAGTGATCCATCACCATTACAGAAGTTCTTCACAGGGATTTCCCTGGAGCTCGTCCCTGAGAGCTTTCAATTGGCTCGAGGGTAGTCGGTCCCAGGCCTTGGCAGCATGGCAGCATCCAGCCTAATACTACCGGCATCTTGGGGTTCTTTCCCGTCTTCTCTTCTTTTCCTCCCAACCAATGGGAACATTTGGGCCCAGGCTTCATGCCGCCCTGATGAAATCCCTACACTCCTATGTACTGTTATTTAGTCACAGTTGAGTAAGGAAGCTTACTATCATTTGTGTTATTGTTTTAGTTCTTATATGAAATCCCCATTTTCCCTAGTTATTGTAATTTAATTCCCTAATACATTTGTTATCTTATTTTAGAGTGTCCTTCTTGATTTATACATCACACTGGGACGACTCAATGAGGGGTTACTCTGACCGTTGATAGATGTGGGAAAAGGGGCCTGCATCCTCTGAAATAGCCCCCCACCCCCAGATATTAATTTCTATTTTCTTAGTTGCCTTTGCCCCTAGGTAACACCGTGGACCATCTGCAAGTCAGTGGTCTGTGGATCACACCGTGAGAACCACTGCTTTAATGGATAGGGTTAGAACATTAGAAATGTAGGAGTAGAAAGTATCATTCTAGTCCAGTACCCAGCACTGAGGCAGGACCAACTAAGCCTAGACCATCCTTGACTGGTGTTTGTCAGCCTTTCCTTAAAACCTCCTCTGACAGAGATTCCACAACCTCTCTAGTTTCCCTTACTGCAGTTTAAATCTTGTGCTACTTTTTCTGTCCTCAGTGGTTAAGAATTTATCACACTCTTCTTTTAACAATCTTATATGTTTTTGAAGACAACTATCATGCCTCCCACTCCGCTCTGTCTTGTCTTCTTTTTTCCAGGCTACACAAGTCCAATTTGGTTCAATCTTCCCTTATACGTCATGTTTTCTAGACCTTTAATCATTTGTGTTGCTCTCCTCTGGACTTTCTCTAATTTGTCCACATCTTTCCCAAAGTGTGGGGCCCAGAACTAGACACAATACTGCACTTGAGCCCTTATCAGTGCTGAGTAGAGCAGGGGAATTACTTTTTGTGCCTTGCTTACAACACTGTTGCTAATACAGCCCAGAATGATGTTTGCTTTTTTTGCAACAATATTACCTCGTTGACTCATATTTAGTTGTTGATCCACTATAATCTCCAGATTCTTTCTGCAGTACTCCTTCCCAGGCAGTTATTTCCCGTTTTGGGCAATTGTTTCTTCTTTCCTCAATAGAGTACTTTTGTATTCATCCTTATTGAATGTCATCTTGTTTATTTCAGTCCATTTCTCCAGCTTGTCCACATCATGTTGAATTCTAATCCTGACTTCCAACGGGCTTGAATAGGTGCCTCCAACTTGGTGTAATGTGAAAAACTTTATAAGTGCATTTTCTGTGTTATGATCCAAACAATTTCTGAAGATATTGAATAGAATAGGACCCAGGACAGATCCCTGCAGGACACTGCCTGATATGCCCTTCCAGCTCAATTGTGAATCATTGATAACTATTCTCTAGGTAATTATCAGTGTTTACATAGGGAGTGTCTTTGTGCAATATATTGGCTTCTCCATTGCCCTTATCTTCTGGAACAGAGTCAATTTCTGTACATCCATTACAATGCTTTGACCTATGGGCACAGAGGAGCAAGAGTCATGTTTAGGAGCATGGCCTAGACACACTGTAATATCTTTGGCAGATCTTGTTTCTGTTGTCTAGGTGGTTTTTAAAAACAACTGACAATAGCTGGAACATCTATCTCAGCAAAGAGTGCTCTCTCAGGCAGGCTTTCTGCATTTTCTTGGAGAGCTTCTATTTGCTGAATAATGGACCCTCTCTTGTTGCGGCACAATCCTCGGAGGGCGAGAACAGCTGCAATATGTTTCTTTCTGTGAAAAGCAAAACCAGGGTCACTCTTAGGGAGCCCAAACACTGCAAATAAAGAGCAAAGCCACACCCTAAAATAAGGTTTATCTGAAACAGACAGGATTCCATCCATTAGGATGTCAGGGTTCTCCACTGGCCAACAGTACACATTGTGGGGGTGGAGGTATACAAATTTTGGGACAATCAGTGATGTTGACAATGGGGTAGCTTAATGGTCAATGACAAAAGCAGTTGTGGATAAATAGAACAGAATTGCAAATGCCCAGGAGTGTCTATTTCATAGACAACTGGGAGGCTTCGCCGTGTAAGAACTGCAAGGTCATGTTACAATGTAAGTGCCAGTTCAGTGTAGAGTCAAATTCTGCAACCTTTATGTTAATTAATCCCTTATTCTGTGAGGAGACTCATTGCTCTACAACAAGGCCACTGGCCAGGTAGGCTAGTCATAATAAGGAGTAAGGCTGGCAGCACTTTGCAAAGACAAAATGGGAATTAACTGGCCATCTCCTATTGGAAGCCAATAGACATTGGATGCTTACCTGGTCTTCATGCCTTGAAAATCTTCCCCCTGGATGTTCTATACATTCATATGGTATTACCCTCATCACACTAAGCTTTCCTGAGAAGCAGGAGGCTTTCTATGTAATGAGGATTTGATCGTTAAATGATGTGGGCAATAATACTCAAGAAGTTGGCAGGCACTAATTAAATTAGATCTAGTAAAGAATATTTAAGTCGTGGGCACTATTCCAGAAACACTGGCTACAGATAGATTTTCAGATAGGATTCTGTATCAGCTCAAGGGAAAGAATTAACTGAATCATGACAGCTAGACTCATAAAGTAGGGCTAAGAGGCTTTGTCTGGTTTTCAAAACTTGCTTGTCCAAAGATTATGACTCAATAATAGATCGAGTGCTAACTAAGAAACAGGAAATCCAGTTAATGAACTTTGAAATCTACCTGTAGTCTGAGTTGAAGGCTAATTGTGAAAATTGTTATAGACCCCAATCTGGACGATATAAGCATGTCACATGCTTTAAAGTTAAGTATGTGCAGAGGCATGTTTATATCTTCTTTTTAGGGTTAGATTTCAGATTGAATCCAAAATAGTCAACCAGTTTCTGGGTTCTGAGCAATCTACCAAACTGCACTTTTCAATTAATCAGTAAGCAGTGGTAATTACCCAGTGGTAATTGTGCAACATTGTGCCATCAGCTGTGTATGCCTTATAAATGAACTTTTGTAAAACATCTTGGAAACTTTGCTGTTTGGTTGCTATGTTGATGTTGTTAAACTCAGTTCTCTTTGAAGTATGATGATACAACCAAAGTTATCGTTTTAGAGAAACAATAGCCTTACATGTAGCAGACTCCTTACTGAGTCATGGAAAACCAATTGATACAGAGGACTAAGGATATGTTCTCACACCTGACTTGTAGGTAACATGGACGAACACAGTGCTTCCCATTCACTTAGGTGTAAAAGGATGGCTTGAAAGCCCACAGTAGCTGAAGATGTGTATCAGTTTTCTCCTCTGTCTGGTGTAGCATTGCCACAATAATTGCTGAAGGCTGGATTGTAACCTTACAGTTCCTGGCCAGGTTTGGAAAGCTTAACTATAACTTTGCTTTTTAAAAACAAAAGACTAAATTCTGCAGCAAACTGGGGAACTAGAGGTGGGATCATTCTGCACTTAACACTCTATCACAGCCATAGGCTGCGTCTAGACTGGCATGATTTTGCGGAAATACTTTTAACAGAAAAGTTTTTCCGTTAAAAGTATTTCCGCAAAAGCATGTCTAGATTGACATGGATGCTTTTGCGCAAAAGGTGCTTTTGCGCAAAAGCATCCATGGCCAGTCTAGACGCGATTTTGCGCAAGAAAGCCCCGATCGCCATTTTAGCCATTGGGGCTTTTTTGCGCAAAACAGTTCTTCCCTGTCTACACTGGCCCTCTTGTGCAAGTATTCTTGTGCAAGAGGGCTTTTTCCCAAGCGAGAGCATGAAAGTATTTGCGCAAGAAGCACTGATTTTGTACATTACAAAGTCAGTGCTCTAGCGCAAATTCAAGCGGCCCAGTATAGACAGCTGGCTAGTTTTTGCGCAAAAGTGTCTGCTTTTGCGCAAAATCTTGCCAGCCTAGACGCACCCACTGTGTTTAGGACCAGAAGAGACCAATAGATTCCTGTTTGATCTTTTATCATAGGAAACTAGTGCAACCCACCACTCTAACACCAAGTCCAACAACTGACATTAGACCACGTTATTGCAGCCCCGGTTCCATCCAACCCCGGTTCCATCCAACGTTCCACGAGGCGTACAGATAGTTCGGAATGGCTTTCTAGTTCGAACTATCTAGCCTGTGCCGTGCGTAGCCGCGCGGCACGGGGTTCGCACTAGCCGGCTTTTAAAAATGGCGGGGCCGGCGAGAATATGCATTCTTCCAGGACAATGCCAACATTTAGGGTATGTCTACACTACCCCGCTAGTTCGAACTAGCGGGGTAGTGTAGACATACCCTAAATGTTGGCATTGTCCTGGAAGAATGCATATTCTCTGACTCCCCTCAGTAGGGCTGCATTCCATACAGATGGTATCATCGAGGAAGTCACCTCCCCCCGTAGAGAAGACACCCATTATACACCTGTCACTCCACACATGGGTATTTAAAATCAGCCTCTAGTTTTGCAGGTTCAATTTTGGAACCACAATAAATAGAGGGCACAATGGACAGCATTTAGATGCCAAACTACTGGATTGTGCTAGCAAAATCAGGGGATAGGATGCAGTCCTTTCAAAAATCCAATTAAAAATTTTGAAAAGCAGTAACTGACCTTGGAGGCCTCAGTTTTGAGTGTTCATTTTAAGACCTGGACAAAAGCCATGTCCTCCAAAAGCAGAGCCCTACAAATTGGCTAGCACAGAGCCTTCAAATAAAACACAGTAAAATGACAAGGGATTTGAAATAACTTCTGTGCACCAAATGGTTCAGCTGATTCTGCTGCTACCAACCTGGAATCAAATAATATAGTTATTGGGGGGCAACAAAATCTGAGCTTCACCCCGCTCATAGCACTTTACATTGAGAAACCCTCTGATATTAACCCCACATACCTGACATCTGGATAATCCTTGCACATATCCTCAATAGTTTCCTTGATTTTAGGTTTGTTCTTCTCTGAAATTATGTTTGCAATGTATTGAATAGCAGAATCAAGCCAATCAGCATTAGAACCCTAAAAATAAGTTAGAAAAATCAAGAGGTGTAGTTTGTGATTGGTATTTTAATGAGACATGTCAACATTCAGAAAATACATTTACATTCATTTAGTATGTCCAGTAAACAATACTTCTGTACATCTAGCATCAAAGATATTTTACAAATATGGGCTTTATCTTTATTCTGTAGTGGGAACAGACCTGCCAGCTAACAGGGTGGGGCAAAGGTCCCAGCTATTCCACTTCCACTGCCATTACTCCTTAAATCACTGCTAGAGTGTCCCGCACTGCAGAGCCCCAGACAGCGTGCTCTGGATAGCACTGGGAAGACACAGTCTGGGCAATGCAGAGGACTAGCTGCCTTGGCCCTATTCCTTCCACCTGAGGCCCTCCCTCTTCTGGAAGCATGGGCCTTATCTCTTCCACCTGAGGTCCTGTCCATCCAGGAGTATAGAGCCAGGCCTCCCCCCATGTCGCCCAGGGAAAACTGAATTACAGAGAAGTCAGCCAACTTGCTCAAGATCATGGAATGAATTCATGGTAGCTGGACTAGAACCGTGTTCTTCTCCTGACTCTCAGCTTCCTTCTACATGCAGCATCCCTGTAGGACTCTCAATATAAACAATAACACATGGCAGTGGTTGTAACTCTGCAATAATAGGATGTCTTGGGCATATTGCAATGTTGCATACAAAGGATCAAACAGCAAGTGGGAAGAAAGTGTTCAGAGGTTTTAGTTTTCTGTTTGCATATCAAGAGTAGGGTTGCCAGGTGTCTGGTATTGACCCAGACAGTTCGGTATTTTTGGCTCCTGTCCGGTAAAAATATTCAGAAAATACCAGATACTTAAAATGTCCAGTATTTTCTGATTTTTTCCCAGTCAGGGGGCGAAAATACCAGACTGTCTGGGTCAATACTGGACACCTAGCAAACCTACACAGAGTCAGCAATCGGGCACAGCCCCTACCCCACAACTTACCTGGTTCTGCAGGGGAGCTGTCTGGCCCAGAACAGGGAGGGAGGCAAGATAGCCACTGGCTGCTGGCAGCCTATTAGGAGAGGCAGAACCTAACCCCTCCTGTTCTTAAAGGGGCCATGCTGTTTTTAAATTTAATTTTTTTTTTTTTTTGCTTAATAACTCTCAATGTCTTTTTTTTCCTCAAAAACTTTGGTCCTCCCCCTTTTTTTCAACAACATTTTTTCCCCATTTTTGGGGGGTGGTATGGGGGGTGTTCGGTATTTTGGGTTAAACCATCTGGCAACCCTAATCAAGAGTTTTGAAGGCAGTCAGTCACAGTCATTCACAAGGGGTTTTAAAAGGCTTTCAGGCTTTTTCCTTGGAACTGAGAATAATGGGAAGAGGGCTTTTGTGTGGGAAAAAGCCGTTTAGGCTGTCCTACTGCAATTTCAGTAAGGATCCAACTCTGCAGTCATGTGAGCAAGCCTAAAGGGGATTGAGTTCATGAGTAAGGCCCACTCATATGCGTATCAATTTGTTGGTTTGTGCCTGGATCCCATATGGCAGCGATAAATACCCAGCCTCTCAGAAAGTTGATTTGTCTGCACTGTCCTGAGTGACTGTTTCCTCTGCCCTGCTTACCAAAGAGGTGCAACTCTTGGCTTACTGATGATCAAAGCTGAGAAGTTTGGAAAGAACCTAAAAAAAGTTTGGTGCCCAAATCCCTTGAATTTCAATGGCATTTGGAAAACTACCTCCCTCAAGCTGAGATATTCAAAGGCATCTGTGGCTCTGTCTACACTTAACAGTTTAAAGTGCATCCTTGGCACTCTATGTAAACCACCTCCATGAGGGGAGTAGCCTGGGTCATACTGGCAATCTATAGCACTGTAACTTGCTGTGCTTTGGGGAGGGAAGTGGTGCTTTTTCACACCTGTGAGCCAGAATGTTACACTGCTGTAAGGTACCAGTGTAGACTTTTAGCCTGTGTGCATCAAACATAGAGATTAATGAACTACAAAGGGTGCAGTCAGCAGTAACCACCACCTCGCGCCTGAAATATCACCCATCACAAATCCCCAGCTTCTGCCTCTCCAGGCCTCTGGACAATGTGTTCCTAAAAATACTCCTCTGCTGATCACTCTGGCTTCTCTGCATAGGTTGTAGCAAAGGGAGTAGTAGTGCTAATGTATACGTTCTGCAGGCAGCCATCGGTATTGTCATCACTGTCATATAAGCCTGTGGTGAGCAGTGTTTGGTGGGGCAGGGCCTGACCTTTATTCCAATTTGAAGTCATTGAGGCCACATCTACACTATGCGGAAGATCGATCCTCCAGAGGTTGATCTTCTGGTGTTCGATTTAACAGATCTAGTTCAGACCCGTAAATCAAACACTAAGGGCAGCTCTGGCTGGTGTCCAGTACTTCTTTTGTGAGGGGTAAAGAAAGCCGGCAGGCTCATTGGTCCCACTGGCCTCCTGCTGTGTGGACGGCATGGAAACGCAATTTAAGATATATCAACTCCAGCTACGTAATTAACGTAGCTGGAGTTGCATATCTTAATTTGACCTTCTGCTGTAGTGTAGACCAGGCCTTAGAGGGGTGAAAATTAGGTGCATGTGGATCTTAGGCCACTAGTAACAACGGAAGCCTTTTCTATAGCAGTTCTATTACTGGTTGAGTTGAACCAGAAATTACAACAGTGGGGGATGATAGGAAAACTATCCTAATGATCAGCTGCTTCTCATGTTGGGTTTCCCACCTGCTCACCTTACACTTCCTGCAGTGCAACTAAAAAGGCCCCACTGATGCAGTATGAGGCTTTACATACCAGTTCTTTGAAGCTTCCCTCTATAACTCTGGCTTCTCGGATCATCCTTTCGCTAACCTCTTTCCGCTTGGCTCTCTTTATTTTCCTTCTCGGTTTGATGACCTGCGCGATGTACTCTCTCACCACGTACTTGTGCGCATCACCTAGAAAATCCTATTTGTTTTAAAAGGAAAGATGGCAATGAGGTTTGAGAGCAGAGGGGCCTTTGAGCTCCTTGGCAATGTCACAAGAGGTAGATGAGAAGCCTGTGCTAATCAGCAACCTGTGAAATGCCAGACCAGGATTCTGCTCTGAATGCCACTTCCGCAGAGCACTCAGTGAGTGTGTGGACGCAGCTGAACAGGACATACAACTCATGTTCCCTTCCATCCATTATCTACATAAACAGGGGAGGGATAGCTCAGTGGTTTGAGCATTGGTCTGCTAAATGTGGGGTTATGAGCTCAATCCCTCAGGGTGCCATTTGGGATCTAGGGCAAATCTGTCAGGGATGGTACTTGGCCCTGCTGTGAGGGCAAGGGACTGGACTTGATGATTTTTCAAGGTCCCTTCCAGCCCTATGAGATAGGTATAGCTCCATATATGAAGTAAAGACAGTGAACAAAAAGAAGCTGTATGCTCACTGTAACCAAAATTGATCCCTGATTATATGTTGGTGATTTTGGCCCTTCAGTAACTAATGGGGACAGATGGGACTGTCTAGCAACATGTTTGGATGCTGCTTGCGGATTTTAAATTTAGACTTATTGGTACCTATCCTTGTATCTCCCGACTGTACAGAGAGTGTATGATGGTAGCATGTTAAAGTAACTGCTGTAATCTCCTTCATATGGTAGATATAGATGTAAAGCAACTACTATAATTCTAGAAGTAGGTGAATTGCTTTAATCAATTCACTGGACTTCCCAGAGGGCTGCAGCATCATGGTAAATGGAAAGAGGAACAATATACACCAGCATGGGCAGCCAGTGTATTGCAATTAAACTAGAATACTAACCAGTGCTTTTTGTTCAGAGGCCAATTCCCCTATTTCAGACATAGAAGGGAAGCAATAATGATGTAAGTTAAAAGTTTAGTTCCTTGAGAAAATAAAGGACAGACCTTGCAAATGTCCCAGGTTATATTAATTGCCTTACTGAAGGCAAGGGAGTGACCTTTGCAGGTCAGCCCCTGGTCTGGAAATAAGATCACCAGCTATACCGCTGGAACCTCATGCCAATCATTGCATCAACAGTAGCAGAGTGTATCACTGTGATCAGTGTTCCCTCTAATTTTTTTCCATACATGCACAGAATAAATTTTGTTACATGCACCAAGGCAGGTACAGATGTGCACCATCAGTAGAAACACATGCTACCAGCTGTGGTATTTGACTCTCCCCGGGGTGGCTGCCCAAGAACTCAGCATACAAGGAACACTGAGGCTACGTCTACATTAGCAAGATTTTGCGCAAATGCTTTTAACACAAGAGTTTTTGCGTTAAAGTATTTGCGCAAGAGAGCGTCTACACTGGCACGTGCCTTTGTGCAAGAGATGTGCTTTTTTACAAAAGGATCCATGCCAGTGTAGACGCTCTCTTGCACAAGAATGCTCCGATGGCCATTTTAGCCATCGGGCTTTCTTGTGCAAGAAATTAACGTTGCCTGTCTACACTGGCCTCTTGCGCAAGAACAATTGCACAAGAGGGCTTATCCCTGAGTGGGAACATCAGAGTTCTTGTGCAAGAAGCACTGATTTCCTACATTAGAACATCAGTGTTCTCGCACAAGAACTCCCCGCCAGTGTAGACAAGCAGCATGTTTTTGCGCAAAAGCAACTGCTTTTGCGCAAAATCATGCCAATGTAGACACAGCCTGACTATGATGCCTCCTTTGCACCTGTGAATCAGGCATTGAGTCATTCTATGTTCCTTGACCTGTTCTGGGTGACCACAGTTGCACACTAAAGGGGTTTTTTTTTCATTTTCTATTTGTGCCACATGTACCCACATCTGCCATGGTTTGTGTGGATGTGGCTTAGGGTTGCTCATGACCCTTCTGGAAGATCAAAGCCAAGGATTTCTTGCATTGGGTCTTTCATAAGGTATTTGTTTGTGATTTCTTGTGGGTTCACATGACACTGTTAAAGGTTAATCATGCGAGTCTGAAGGGTTCGTGTCACTTCAAGCTAAGATGGGAAATGTTATCAAGTTCCTTGCTTTCATCAGTTCACTGGACTTCCCAGAGGGCTGCAGCATCATGGTAAATGGAGAGAGGAACAATATACACCAGTATGGTCAGCCAGTGTATTGCAATTAAACGATAATACTAACCAATGCTTTTTGTTCCTCTTTAAGAGGCCAATTCCCCTATTTCAGTCATAGAAGGGAAGCAATAATGATGTAAGTTAAAAGTTTAGTTCCTTGAGAAAATAAAGGACAGACCTTGCAAATGTCCCAGGTTATATTAATTGCCTTACTGAAGGCAAGGGAGTGACCTTTGCAGGTCAGCCCCTGGTCTGGAAATAAGATCACCAGCTATACCGCTGGAACCTCATGCCAATTGTAATGCATAGGAAAAGGATACATACCTTGTCAATAGGCTCCTCTAAATGTTTTAGGTGTTGGCAAATTTGTTCAGTTATTGACATTATTGAATCCAGTATATCACTATTTAACATCCACGTGTCAGTCAGAATTTTCTTAAAGAGTGTCTGGAAAAAGACCAGTTTGCCAGTGTTATTATAGTAACCCTCTCCAAATTCAAATTATTGAGCAAACTCACAGTGCTGGACCTTGTATTCAACATACAGGAAGACACAGGCTAACAGGTTCAGTAATATCTTAGGGTATGTCTACACTACCCCGCTAGTTCGAACTAGCGGGGTAGTGTAGACATACCCTCACACACTAAGGCCAGCTCTACACTGGACTTGGATGATCGGCTTAACGTACGCAATTCCAGCTATGCCAAATGCGTAGCTTGAGTCAGCTTACCTTAAACCACGCTATGGTGGTGTCCACACTGCATGAGGCCGATGGGAGTAAACGCTCTTATCTGCTTCCCTTACTCCTTGCAAAAGGAGGAGTACTGAACACTGGTGGGAGTTGCCCTTCAGCGTTCAATTTATGGGTCTATATGAGACCTGCTAAATTGAATGCTAGAAGATCAACCTCCAGAGTGTCAATCTTCCAGTGTGTATAGACATGCTCCAAGGGCCAGAGTGTTCAAGGGATTTAGACACCTAACATGCAGATAGGTACATAGTGGGATCTTCAAAAGCAGGGGCGGCCCATCCATATAGGTGAACTAGGCGGTTGCCTAGGGTGCCAAGTTAAATGGGGCACCAAATGGTGGTGCAATATCATTGAGGGGTTTGGAGGTGGGGGCACCGATTGCATAGTTCACCTTGGGCGCCAGTTGCTGACAGCTAGTCTAGGGCCGCCCTTGTAAAAGTATCTAAGTGCTTAACTCCCATTGATTTCCACAAATGCTAGGTGTGTAGGTGCTTTTGAAAAATCTTACTAGGTACCTAAGTATCTTTAAGCAATCTCATCCTTAGACTCTAAATCCCACTGAACTTTAATGAGACTCAAGCTCCTACGTGCTGGTTACTTTTGAAAACATTACCCATATGTTTCTAAGTCCCTTAGGCGCATTTAAGAATATCACCCACAGCCAGTAAATCTCATTCTATGGGGAAGAAGCCATTTTCCGAAAAAGCTTTTTCAGAGTGTTCAAGGGATTTAGACACCTAACATGCAGATAGGTACATAGTGGGATCTTCAAAAGCAGGGGCGTTTTCAGAGTGTTCAAGGGATTTAGACACCTAACATGCAGATAGGTACATAGTGGGATCTTCAAAAGTAGGGGCGTCCATATAGGCGAACTAGGCGGTTGCCTAGGACGCCAAGTTAAATGGGGCACCAAATGGTGGTGCAATATCATTGAGGGGTTTGGAGATAGGTTTTTCAGAAAAAGGCATGTATGGATGTGGAAGAGAGTATTTTTTCGAAAGAAGAGAACTCTAGGCAAAAGCACAGGTGTCCTGGTGGCCACTCCATCCACAGTGATCACAACTGAAATGCGAGAGAGTGTCCAATCAATGTGGACACTATCTTTCGAAAAAGCACATTGCTTTTTCTGTGAGCTTTTTTTGCTGTGTAGACGCTCTCTTTCAAAAGAAGTTTTTCCAGAATATCCCTTCTGGAAAAGCTTCTTCGGAAAGAAGCCTGCAGTTTAGACATAGCCTTGGAGGTGCGGTTTTTCAGGCTCTGGAGAAGGGCAATGAAGTGAAGTCTAGCCCACTCAGGGTTACATAAAGGAAAATCCCTACTGTCAGGGAGGCAGTCCCCACTATTCTATGGCTCTCATACTGAATCCTCCTCTGTTTGTCCCTGATCTGGGTGTGACATATCTGCCTGGGGGAAGAGTTCCCACATGTACACGCCACCTGTTCATAGTAAAGGTTAAACCAGTAGTGACCCAGCCTGCTCATCAACTCTTTCACAACTCGGTCTAGGTACAGAAGGCTTCTGCTCTGACTTTCTCTCTTGGACCATTGCAGATCTCTTCCCTGTGGTTTGCCCAGGCCCTCTAGACATCAGCATCTCCAGAATTAGGCTGCCTATGGAGAGTTCTACTAAGAGATGCTTCATCATAGCTTATGTTCTGCCACTGACTTCAGGTGGGTATTCATTTGAGGTTCAAGTTCAATTGCCCTCCTTCTGAAGGTTCTTTTGAGACTTGCCCAAGCCTGGCTTTCAATCTTTCTGCTTCTCTCCAAATTCCCGACCATCTAATTCTTCTTCACTTAGTCCAAAAATCCCTTCCTCTGAATGCCTTGCTACCTGGAACACTCTTCCCATGTATCTATGCCATGCCAACTCCATTCCTTTCAAATTCCATCTTTAAAACATGCTGACTTCTCCTTTGCTCTGGCTCTTGGCTCTGTCCCATCCCTGCGAATATGCAACAGGCCTGATCCAAAGCCTACTGCAGCCAGTGGAAAGACTCCCACTGACTCCAGTGAGGTTTGGATCACGTTAGAGCTGGGCTGTGTCCAAATGCTTCAGTTCCTGTGCCATGACGAATCTTTGCACCCGTTTCCTGTCAGTTTATTCATTGTAACTTACAAAGTAAAACTCTGATCTGACAAACTATAGGTGCACAAGTCCCAAACTTTCCTTACATGTTCCTCATACAACTCTGCTCCCTTATGCCCCTCATATCCCTGCACAGCCCTTGCAGGTTCAATCCATAAACCCCTCTGTAGGGTATCACTGCACAGTCTTTCTGTTTCAGCCACCTTCTGCCTTCTTGGAAGAGGGGTATCGCTGCACAATGTTTCTGTTTCAGCCACCTTCTGCCTTCTTGGAAGAGATCACCTGGAGTCAGTGTGCACATAGCATGCAGGATTCAGAAATCCCTATCAAAGCATCTGGAAAAGCTTCATTGGATCGGAAATAGCTTCCCCTGTACTGCTGATGGGAGGATTTTGCCCTTCCAATGGTGAAAGAGCTCTTAGGTTTTGCTATAACATACCTGAACAGAGCCCTGAGGCAGAATAAACTCATTTCATTTTCACTGTCCTGAGATTCGCCTTTGGGGGAAGTGGGGAGTTTGGTTTGGACCACTGACTCAGCAAAATCATTTGGAAGCTCCACACAAGTGAGAAGCGAAACCCCCCCTCCCCAAACAAATCCTCACTGACGTGGCCCCTGACTAAGAAAGAGAAAGACTCTCCCCACATTCCCTTCGCACACCAGAGCCTCGGGGAGCCCAGGCTAGTAGATTTTGTGTGCTCCAGCCCTTTGGTGGGGTGTGTGCAGCACCAGCACGGACTCCCCAAAGCCAGAGGTGAAAAGAGCTCTGAGCCTCAGGCAAGCTGGGAGCTGCATCTGGCCCTGGGCCTTAGGTTCCCCATCCCTGCTTTAGATAGAAGTTTGTAGAAGAGATGACAGCAGACTTGCCCTGAATAAAATAAGTCTAAACAGAACCCTTAGAAAGCTATTTTTTAAATCTAAGGAACAAACACACCTCTGCTGTAACCCCATTGTCATCACTAGGATTTCACCAGGGGTGAAATTCCCTTGAGATGTTTTAGGATACAGTATGCTAAAAAGCCAACAAATATGTATTTAATTCCTGTGGTTCTACAATAAAAGGCTTAACCAATGCATCAATGTTTGCAATGAAAAGCCTTAAACCCTAGAAATTTGACATGGAGTTGGCGAGACTAGATATGATGCACTTTGAAATGATCGCATTCTCCTATCCACGCAAAATGGGATGTGTATTAGGAAAATGGCAATAAATCCTGAACTACCAGCTTCAGATCATTCCAAACTCTTCTTACCTGCGTTTTTAGTTCCAGTTTATTTAAAGCGTCCTTTCTGAAGCTCTTTATCACAAGAGTCAGGATCTCTTCCAGTTCCTTAGTATCGGCGTTAAATGTTTTTTGTAAGCCTCTCCTAGAGAGAGAAATAAAAGTAATGGTTTAATGTTGACCTGCATCATGAACTACTGCTGTGGACATCTTAGCCAAAACATTGAGATTTTTTTCAAAGGACTCTCTTGTATCTCCAATAGTTTCCCTTCTCATCACCTGTTCATGGTCACAAAGCATTGTTCCTTTTCTGCAACAGCAGAGATCCCAACCACCTATAATTTTTAGTAATCCTCCTGATGAGTTACATATAATTATAAAATGATTAATTCAGCCTTAAATCTATTAATTATGCAAGCACAAATACATATTTATATGCACACAGATAAAATGTATGTGTGTCACTGCCATTCAGGTCTGGCAAATTCAGCACATAGGACCATGTTTTTCTCCACCACTCCTGTGGGACATGCACAGGATAGCACAGTGAGGGACTCTCAGGAGGGGATTTTGAAGGAGATGCTGCTGGATTCCCTGCCCAAGCCACAGAGATATGTTGCTCTCTAAGCACCCACCGCATGTGGACCCCACATGGACAATGTTAACATGCTCTGGGTCAGTGGTTTTCAAACTTTCCAGACTACTTGGACCCCTTTCAGTAGTTTGATTTATCTTGAATACCCCCAAGTCACACCTCCCTTAAACTGCTTGCTTACAAAATCAGGCATAAAAATACCAGTGTCACAACACACTACTACATTGTGTGCATCTGAAACTAGTTTGTACTGATTTAGCTGGTGCTTTTTATGTAGCCTGTTTGTAAATCTAGGCAAATGTCTAGAGGAGTTAATCTATCTTATGACAGGGTGCGTATATCCTACACTGAGCAAGAAAGGTTTAGCCCTATGCTATGGGCAGCAGACGTCCCTCCCCTCAGACCATACAGGGCATGCTCCATCTGCTGCCTCATTATAAAATTGAGCAGCCTGGTTTAATCTAGGTCAGGGGTGTCCAAACTTTTTTCAAAGAGGGCCAGATTTGATGAAGTGAACATGCATGAGGGCCGACCATTTTGCCTGACATTCTTTGAACCATTAAAATTCAATGCAAATTAACTATTTTATGCAAAGTTTATTGCAAACGGCATACTTTTCATTTCGTCACATGGATGACAAATCTAAACAGGTGTTAAATCACTCTGCCTTTCATATCTGAAGGCCAGATGAAAAAAAAAAATCCAGGAAGCTGAAATATATGTCAGGAACATTGTAAAGTACATTACATATTATTGGTAATAAAGGTTGTCTGTCAACTTTTAAGTTAAAAAAATATGAACAGGAACATAACACCAAGTATACATGTTGTGTCCAAATATATTTATAACTGATTTAGACCAACTGACATTAACTGAGATTTTACAATGTATTCATCTCAATACATATGGATTCGTTGGGGGCCATAAAAGATAGATATTGCCAAATTACCTGTGGGGCCGTATTAAAACGGAACATGGGCCGCAATTGGCCCGCGGGCCGGACTTTGGACATGCCTGCCCTA